CCTATGCAATGACAATTAATAAGTCACAAGGTCAATCTCTATTGATAGTGTTGGATTGTATTTGCCTACTCCTGTGTTTAGTCATGGTCAATTATATGTTGCAATTTCAAGAGTTAAGAGCAAAAGTGGGCTAAAAATCCTAATTCATGACAAGGAGAATGTACCGTGTTCTACTACTACTAATGTTGTGTACAAGGAAGTCTTTCAAGCACTTTGATAGTTGGTAAATTTTATATCTTATACTTTACGATTCAAATTAAAAATCTATTTTAAATTAAAATATATAGTATGCACATTTTCCATGTATTTCAAGAAATATATAATTTTTCCTATTTGTTCATGCAGACGTGATTTGTTGATAGGACCGACGCTTGCTACAAATATGAAGTTAAATGCCAACATGGTTTACATGAGACATATACTCAACTGAAAATATGGTAACATACTTAATAATTTAATAATCTATAAATGTAATGTGAATCCAGACGAGACCCGTGCGATATCACGGGTTTGTTACTGGTAGTTAGAAAGAAAATAAAAGACGCAGGTGGTGCATCATTATAATAGTAGGGAATTTTAATTTTGACTTTTCAAAATTGTTTAGCCTCCCCAATGGATGAATGACACATGTCCCAATCAAAAGAAAAAAATTAGAAAAAAAATAAAATAACATAGATGCAATAATAACCATAAGGAATTAGAAGACAAAGGATTCATATTCCTCAAATTTCCCTTCTTCACTCATACGATAGTGCCCCTTTTTTACATTTCTTCTCTCTTCTCTTACAAAACTCAAACAGAGCAACAACATGTTCTCCCTTTTTTCAATTTCAGAACGCAATCATACTTATACAAATAAACAACCCACAAGCAAAACAAGAGAAAACAAAGGGAACTTGTGGTGTAGTGTTGCTTCAACGAGACGCAATAAAGATTGGACTACGCGGACGTGAACGACGTGACGCTGCGGATCACTGGCTCGTGAAGTGGGATTTGGGTTGCAGAGAGGCTTGGCTCACGACGGTTGAGCGGTTGTCGTGTGGAGGTAATGATTCAATTCTGGTGGCGGCATCCTCGTGGTTGCGGCATAATTGGAGGAAGGGGATGAGCGCTGATATGTTCATATTGTTTAAGATATAATTGTTGCAAAAGAAACAAAAACCAAACAAAATTTTGTTACTAATATTAATAGAATATGTTGTTTCTTCAGTTTATTTAATTTTGTCTGCAACTTTGTGTTTATAGGTTAGTGTTTATATGGTGAGGAGGGATATAGGGTGTTAGTGAATAATTGTGGTATGTTTAGAAATGATGAGTGAAGTGTTTACAATGAACGTGAATGGCCTCGTGAAGAGAGGTTAATGTAATAATAAATAAAGTTTTTTTTTGTAATAGTATATACAAGATGTGTGTTTATTGGTGAATAAGAATTGCACAAGATTTATGTTAATTGCATACAATGGTTAAAAATTGATATTAACAAGAAATTTGAACCAAAATATATAGTAATGAATAAATTTGAAACAAGAAAACCATCATAGAATTCATCCTATGGTTTCCAAAAAATAAACAAGTAAGAATTGCAAAATCGAAAATAAATGAGAGGGGTCTCAAATCAAATCATCGGCCAAAACAACGAAATAATACCAATAGTAAAAAATTTGTAAAAAAAATGTATGAAATTCATGGATTGTGAGAATTATAGATCTAAAAGTGTGTGAAAATGTTAGTGAAAAAATGTTGGTTTGTAGATGAATTGTGAGTGAATTGTGTGTGAGAATTTTGTGGATATTGTGGATGGAAAATTAGGATAAACTAAGGTATTTATAGAGTGAATTAGGTTAAAAAAAGACTTAGAGACTAAGTTATCCAAAAATCCAAAAGAAATCTCAAAGTTTGATCTCTAAAAAAGGGAAGAAAATTAGTAAAAATAAGAAAAAATATTTAAAAGTGCCACACATGAGATTCAAACTCATGACCTTATACTTGAAAGCTTCATTCCTTAACAAATGTGCTATATTACTTATTTGAAATAAAAAGTCAATTGAAAGTACATGAAGACGAGCAAGTATTTTGTTTATTCAAAAATACAAATAATCTTGAAATAAATTATTATATTTTTAAATAGGTTTGGAAGCGAATATTTATAAAAATCAAGGAATATTTATAAAACTAATGTTTAAGAATATTTTTGACCATAGAAATAAAGGGCGGGAAAATTTGGGGTATGACAGATTCATTATTTTTCTTCACATAAGATATTCCTCTAGTAACCAACACTGAGTTTGATGAAGTATTATCCTCACCCTTCAATCTTCTTTCTTCATAAATAATTTACTAGCAACTTCTTCAAAACTCAAACTTTCCGTCCCATATATCAAAACTTGTTTAATATGCTCATTGGAAGATGAAAGAGATCTAATGAGTCTCAAAGCTTTATCTTCATCATCAATCTTAACTCCAATAGTTTCTAATTCAGAAAGAATACAATTTAAAACACTTAGATGATCATATACTTTCACATGTTCATCCATACGCTTGTTATGAAGCTGCTTCTTCAATAATAATTGATTTGATATTACCCTTTTCTTGATACAACCCTTTTCTTGATACAACTCTTTAAGTTTCTCCCAAAGTTCTTTGGCTGACAACATATGAAGAACACCCACACGAATATTCTTAGCTAAAGTTATGAAGCTTTCAAATCTTGTTCCTCCTACTTCTCGTTGTATATGTTGGAAATGTTTCATTTCAACGCCTTGTGTAATCCTAGTTATATAAAAACATCAATGACTTGAATATTCCATAAGGCAAAATTGACTCTTCCATCAAATTTTTCTAAGTCAGTCTTCATTGCACTTGAAAAACTTGACATTGCAGCCAAAACTTTTCCTGCAATAAAATTAAAAATTTCCCAACCAACATAAAGTATAAAATTTCTTTTATGATGTGGAAGATTAGACAAAACTGCAACCACGTAGCATACTAAAAAATTGTATACCCCACTAAACCAAGACTCTTGATACCACTTGTTGAGAAAAACAAAACATAGAAAAAAAGGGGGACACAATAATAACACAAGCGATTAATGTGAAAGCTCTAAAATCAAAGAAAAACCACGAACATTGTCAAATGACAACCAAAGAATAACACTATATGAAAATTGTTACAATACATATACTACTCTCAACCATCCCAAAACCCCAATACACTCAAATTCTTTAAAGCAAATACTTAAGTACCCATCACAACACTCTAAAATAAGAATTTAAGAGAAAATATAAAAAGTCAAATACAAACTTAAAATGCTTTTGAATAGTACATTTTGTAACAAAAAACTTGAATCTTACATATAACATTGGACGTCCCTCTTCCTTCACAAAACTAATTGATGCAAGACTTCTTCAAGTACATTTTCAACCAACCATAACAATTTCACTATAAACCGTTATTTTCTAGATCCAATAAAATTATCCCTAATCCAACGAGAAAATTGGTTGTGAGAAAAACTTACACATGATCATCTTTTCTGTTTTGATGACTAACTTCTTGAGAAACTATATTTATTTATTTTTTAAAATCGAGAACATTTTTCTAGGAATAACTTTTTTCCTGTGAGTACAGGGAAACATGTTTCGAGAAAGACTAACACATGATATCTTTTATGTTTTGATGACTGATTTTCTAGGAAATTATATTTCTAATTGAAAAAATACAGACAAAATTGTCTATGCGGTTTCTATTACGATCACATATATGATTTTAAATTACATTTAAATTACGGTCTGATGTAACGCAAATGTGATTGTGAACCGCATGGCATGTAGTAGGAATTTTCTTAAGTGAGCTTCATTTCACTATTATCCAAAAATTTAAATTTGATCAAGATTCCATTTATATTTTCTCGAGATTTGTGTTATTGGTTTTTGTTAACATTTAATACCCTTTATTCCCAACCCTAATCAGTGTATTGTTTTTATTCATGTTAACAACCACCATTGTCTCGCACATTGTGGATGTCATCAAATTCTCTCAAAAACTAGTCCTTAACATTCTGTCACTTTAATTGTTAGGTCCTAATTTGGTACATCAATGTCTTTTAAAGGAAAAAACAAAGTTAGTGATTTACTATATTTGTTAAACAAATTACATTATTTAAGTATAACTTTAAAGACTTAAAATTCATAACAAATCTCTACATTTTTCTTCACACTCAGTCAAACATACAAGTATATGTTGTAAACGTCATGTCCTAGAATTTGATGGATAGTTATTTTGTAGGTTATAGTTATTAACCTTTGTTTCTTAAAAAAAAAAATCTTTTTGTTTTTCTAATGAATCCACATTGACTTTCATTCCTGACCCACTTTTCAATTCTGATTTGACCCTCTCTTCAAACAGAATCTAAATGATAAGCTAGGGTCGTCCTTGGTATTCATTTTCAAATTTTTACATTAATATTGTGTATATATGGTAACAAAAATAATCACTTTTTTTTTTGTAAAACTTTTGTTTTATGAACTTCATGTTTTTATCTTTTGGAATATTACACAAGTGGTTGTCATTTGTTTGTCAACTCAATTGAAACAAATCTTGCAACATGTCATAATGAGTCATGAATATGGACTTGCTATGCTTCATAGAAGAGGTTGAAATCACACAAATCTTCATATTGTAAGCAAAATAATGGATTCAATTCTTACAACATTTATGCAAAAAGAGAGAGAAACCAAAAATAAAAAAGAACTACATTTATAATAAATTATTTATATTCCTTTCTAGAAAATAGGGCATGATACATCATACAACCATATAAACCAGAAATTCATATTTAAACCCCCCAGAAAACTAAATACAACACTACCATTATCCAATAGAAAATATAACAAATAAAAACAACAACTAAAACAACTACTTCCCACATTTGTTTTACACAAAAAAGGGAATTAAAAAAAAAAATCTGGTGGGGTCAAGAACCTTCTTATAAAAAACCAAACATTTTAACTTGCATTGTTTTGACCAGAACCAGAACTAAGGTTAAGGTCAAAATTGGTACTATTTGGACCATTATTTCCACCCTTCTTTGAAAGCTTCTTCTTCAACTCACATAATAGTTGTTGATTCTCTTCATTCAAAAGCTGTGCTTTCTTCCTCAGCCTCTCATTTTCTTTCATTATGTAACAGTTTTGTAAGTACAGCTTTGAGTTCAATCTTTCCATTTCCAAATTTCACAAAATTTCTACCAAATCACCCTGAAAAATCAACATAAGTTTAAATCAATAACTATTTTTAAAACTTTTCCTATTAAAAAATTAATTTACAAGACAAACAAGTAGAAGTTGCATAAAGATTTTCGCAATTTCAAATAAATAAAGTAATTTTTTTTTTTGATAAACAACATGAATACTCTAACCCGAATAAAAAAAATAAATAATGTATCATTAATAGACGTCGTTACAAGTAAAAGTGAATAATAATAGATATTTTGTCGCTACTGTTTTCGCGGTAAAACACAGTAAAACCATGAGAAAGAACATTAAAAAAACAAAAAAGAGAACAACCTTAATAATGTTGGTTTGGTAGATATAATAATGACAATTAAACAAAGGAAATAACAAGAAGAAAAAGCATGATGGTGGGTAGAGGTCAGAAACAGTTGAGTTTTAGGACCACAAAAACCATACAATTTGTCTGTAAAAAAATATAAAACTAAAGAAGAAGAAGATTAATAGGTGAGAAATTAAACCTGCAATGCACTCACTCACTTGGGAGAAAAAAAAAAGAAGTTTCTTTTTGTTATCCCAAGAGAGAAGAGAAAGATATAGTACTACGTAAAAAGAGACAAGTTTTGTACTAAGATCATATGTGTTTTTTTCTTGTCTATTGTCTATATAGCTAGAGAAAGACAAAGAAAGCATTTGTTGTAAATAAAACAAAGACGCAACAATGAAAATACAATATAATAATTTGTTAGAGAGAGGTGAAGAAAGTGATGACCTTAGAGAGAGATTGCGTTGATGGGAGAGGATGAATTGGGAGATTGTGAATTGAGAAGTGAGGGAGAAAGGTGAGAATTTATAGAGAGAAAAAAAAAGAGGAAGAGAGGAGAGGGAAGGGGGACGTGCCTCAAATCTGACAAAACAATCATGCATTTGTAAGCATGGAAGGCGGCCGGTTAGTAGCCTAAAAGATTTTATGTTTCTGTTCTGTTCTATGATATGATTATTCTTGTGGCGTCATGTGAATCATGATGCATTTTTTTTTAACATTTGTGTTTTTTAATATATTTTATTTTGACTAATATATAATAAAAATTAAATGTTTAATATTACTTAAAAAAAAGATGATGATCTTTTCAAATAATTATTTTATTTGAAATTTTAAATGATTTACTGGAAAGAACCGACAACAATATAATTTGTTTTATTTGGAATGTTGAATTCAAGCAAGAGTTCACACTACTTATGTACAAAAATATATTAGAATAATAAATCTTAATAAAGTGTGAACGTTATCTAAATATAGTAAACATATAAATAATGGAATTTAATTTAACTAATAAATAAAGATATTGAAAAATATTAATGAAAAAAAGAAAGAGTTCGATGTCATAGATTAAATTAAATTAGAAATGGGATGATTTATAATGTGAAATTGAAAGATCACCCCACAAAAAAAGTTAAAAAAAGATAAATAAATAATAAAAAAATAAAAAAATAAGAGAGGAAAGAGACAACGAAAAATAAAAATAAAAAGTAAGAAATAAAAAAAAAACTAATCTTTAAAAATATTAGGTATAATTATTTGTGTGAAGGATATAAATATAATTATTTATGTAATTTATGTTATTATATTATTGGTAGATTCATTTTGCACTCGCAAAAATGAATCTACTTTTTTTTTTAACACGAGAAATAAAGTACGAAAAAAGTTATTGAATAAACAATTCTATGTTATCCGTCGTAAGAAGCAAACAAGTATATGTTAGAGGGTCAAGAATATCATCTTATTATTAATAGATTTTGTTCTAAGTTTGGTTAAATAGTCGGCGCACATATTTCCCCTTAAAAGTATTATAGAATTGAAATGCCAAATTCTTAGTCATGTATTTTTTAATTGTGGTTGTTAGTTCTCTGAATTATGTGATTGTCATTATGTTTGATAAAACTAATATAACAGTTATATGTTAGATATGATATATTAACTTGCTAAGAAGAACATGTTGAGCAAGACTTATGTTAAGACATGTTGAGTTGAAGTGTTTCAACATCTGAAGCAACATGTCAGATAAGATGTCCTATGCATGGTCATACGACATCACACTTAAGCTGAGCTGAACAGTTGGATCACGTTATGAAGTAACAGATGCAGAATATTTAGGGAATATTATGCAGTCCTATGTGACACCTATTTAAAGGTCAAGAAGAATCAAGAAGAATATTGAAGAATAATGTCTTTCTAAATATGGAGATAATTTAGGAAGATTTGATTGAAGACCTATTTTGTAGCAGAATTTTCTGCAGATTTGTAACAGCCAAAGAGCTGTGTTTTGAAGGCCCAAATCCATTTGGATATATGTCATAAATAGAAGCATTGTAACCTAGGATAAAGTACCAATCGAGAATTAGAAAGATGTAATTATTAGGGCCGAGTCTATAAGCCACTCTCTAGGAGAGTTGGTGTGTGTGATCCACTCGACATGTGAGTTAGATTGTGTTCCTTGAATTATAAGATTCTATTCTCACTCAGAAGCCTGTAGGTAATGAGTTGAGTATTGTTCTTGGAGGAAGCTTGTAAGAAACTCTAACTTGTGTTCTTAGTCAAGAGTCTTGGCTAGGTATTGTCATGAAAGTGTATCTTCTGTTTTGATCTCATGGAAGTACATCTTCCTGTTTTCATCCAATCGATGTCTCTGATTGAAAAGGAATTGAGGAGGGCCTCATATCTAGGTGAGTCTTAAATAGAAGTCTAGCAAGGATAGTGATTAAGTGATTAGGCCGTAAATTGGAGGTTTGTTGTAGGATATATGAATTGATACTATTTGAGTAGACTTATCCCTTGGCTTGGTATGCCTCCAGAGTAGGAAGGTTGTTCGGAACTGGGTTAATAATTCATGTGTGTTCTTTATGTTTTTCAGTATTGATTTTAGCCGTTTATACCTTATCGTAATGTTTATGTCAGATAAGATGTCTCAACATGTCATATGACATCTGAATTCTATCATACCAGAATTTCAGTGGCTATCTCATTTCAATGGCGATGAGTGAAAACATCTGTATGTTTTACCAGGTGAATAGTAAGCACGAAATCTGTATTGCACACAATGTCTTTCAAATCTTCCTCCCAACAAATTTGAATCCCATACATCAATGTCGAAATTTCCGTATGAAGAATATTCGGTAACCAAGTAACCAATATTACCATATATACCACACATAAAGTTTCCATTGGATTCTCTTATTAGGCCACCAAAGCTTGTTATACCCGAGTTAATTTAAGCAATGCGGTCCACATTAAGGATAAGTGAACTTGATTTTCCTCTTTTCCAAGCAATAGGAAATGCAAGGCTAGCTATTGGTAATATCTTTACGCATGGCCTTGAAAGCTTAAGTAAAATCATGATTCATAGCTTTCCCTTCCGCTTTAACGCTTCAGCAAAATGGCGTTGCTGTCGGGGATTGGTGTTCTTATTGAATCACATTGCGATAGTTTCTTTGTTTTTGAATTTTGCACATAATTATTCATATTGTTTATATTGTTTATATTATGTAATTAGACTTGAATATGTATACTTATGCATTTATTTGTTTATGTTTACCATACTTGTGAATTTTACATGTTTTCAATACTTGTAAATTTAGTGTATATGTTTGTTTCTCTTCTTGTTTGCTAAGTGTTTGGTTAGATTTCACCGTCGGTTAACGCTAACCCTATAAAGAGGCAACTAAGAGAAGTGTGTATAAATAACAAGCGTCGAGCTTACAATGTAAAACAAGCATGTTTTATTGTTTTTAGTTTCTTTATTGTTTTATTATATTAGTATAGGTAGTGTGGTGAATTGGTTAAACAAGTAGATATTGGACAAGTTCTTAAAATTCTCAAATCTTCACTTTTCAACTTGTTTAATTCAATTTCACTCAGTATTTTAGTATGTTTATAGTAGTTGTTTTAATTTGTTATTTTTGTGTTTGTCCAAGAGCTCGTTTCGAGTAGCTTGATAAAGTTTGAGGTGATTTTCCAAGTTGACCATTTCAACTTGCGGATGTATGGTAATGATATTGTTTGAAGTTGGTACACGCCAGGTACTCATTTATCATTTTCTATAGCATAACATGTTTAGGAAACTTTTCACTTGTACAAATTCCATGCCATTCATTTTGTTACATTACTTGTTTTTTATTGAATCACTTTAGTTGGTTTTCACCCCAAATATGAGGAAACTTTTCATTGTTCATATATGCTAGAGGCCACAATTCATGTTTTGATTAGATTTTGTTAAGTTTAATCTATTATTTGTATTGATTATAGGAAAGCATGAAAAAGATTAAGGCATTTTTGTTTCATTTTGAGCACAACTACCTAGCCAAATAGTCAATTCACCATGCGAGTGTGTGCGTATTTGTTAACCCCTTTGAGCTTTGTCAATATCCATGTTTTGTATGAACTTGATGCTTGTCTATGAGTGTTAGTTCTCTTTTTGTATGAATTTTGATTCTTTTTGTTTCTTAAACCCTCAACCATGTATTGTTGTATGAATTTTTACTTTGCCTTAGAAAGTAGGGAGTATTCACACATTGATAATGTTTGATTCAAGTTGGGGAGAGCAATGTTTGCCCACTTATGTTGTTGGTTGTTATGAGGTTGTGAAAAAGAAAAAGATAAAAAAATGTGAAAAATAAAGAAAAAATTGAAAAAGCTTTGAAAAAGAAAAACAAGAAGAGAAGAATAATGTTGTGTAAATAAGTATGTGATTATTGTGAAACCTTGGGATGAAAAAAGAAGTTTGATTGAAATTTTTATGTTTGAAACTTTGTGAGTTAATCACTCCCTAAGGTTTAGGCAAGTTTTTGTTTCAATTAGCTTTAAGAATTATTCCTTGTTTGTTAACCAAACCACATTACAACCATGAAAAGTCCTTGTGATTCTTACTTTTGTGTTTTCAATATGAATTTTTGGATGAATGCACAATTTAGTCTTTTGTTTGCAAGATTGTTGGATG